TTCGCAGCGCCAGTGAATCGTGAACCGATCGGAAAGCATTCGGTCGTCGATGATTCGTGCCGCTCCGCGCTGGATGTTGTCAAGTGGAAGGAGCTGGCACTGGGGAGCCCAGCCCTGAGATGGGAACAGTATTTCATGTGAGGCCGAACCTGCGCCTTGTAAAGTTGTAGGCGGTGTGCCGGCATGAAATACTGTCCTGCTCTGCTGAGCACGCCAAGCTTTTTAGAGGCCAGTTTGGCCTTCTCTTCCAAGTAACCACGAAACTTCATATCACTCGATATGTCGACGCCGAGGATTTAGGAAGGGAGCTTCGAAAGAAGCGCTTTGTGCCAAACCCGATCGAATGCCTTCGCAATATCCAAACTAACGTCCAATACCTCCCCCTTGGACCCTACTGTCTCCGCCCATCGATGAGCCAGGTAGATCAGAAGAGTATTGGTTGTCACTAATCAGCTGGTGATCTTCAAGGTACCGCATGCGCTGGCAGTTTATAATGGATTCCATTATTTTGGAAAAAAGGAGGTGATGGTGATAGACCTGTAGTTTGACGGATCTGAGTGGTTGCCTTTTTTAGGGATCGGGTAGACGAAAGCCGTCTTTAATGATTTTGGAACACGCCTAGAGGGAGTAGTAGTACCGAAAAAAGATGCGTAAGAACCCGTGCCAACTCTGGAGCACACGTTCTCAGCACAATTGGGAGGATTTCGTCGGGCCCACTCCACTTGTGGATGTCCAGGGAGAGGAGTGCTTTGCGAATCGAGCGCTGTGTGATCCGCACCTCCGGCATGGAGCACTCACACTGCGGGATGGTTGGCGGCGTGCTCACCCCGTCATTGGGAGTCGATTTGGCTGCAAAGAAAGAGCCTAGCACATCGGCTTACTTCTTTGCGGCATGTGTCACCTTTGTGGCACCTTACGGTCAGTGAGTAGTCCTCCCTGTGCAGAGATGGAAGAGATGACTGAGAGAAATTCCCTTGGACAGCCTTGGCGAGACACCAAAATGCACGGGTTTCAGTATCTCGCCAATTCTGCCTATGTATTCTAGGGCGCTTGTGTTTACATTCCCAGGACGTTTATGCGTCAGCCCGGACCCGGTAGCACTCCTGCTTAAAGCATGATGCTATTTTACAGAAGGAACTAAACCATGGCTGAAATCTGCCTCCGATGGGTACCGCATACGTAAGTATCATATTAGTCTGTGGGTACCGCAGAGGAAGGAATAAAAAATTCCATACCCTGAAGCACCACATCAGCGACCAAGTCAGCAACAGCGTTGGGATCCTCCGGCGAGAAGCAAACCTACCCCCAATGGTATGATGCAAAAAAAGACCGCATCCTATCCCAATCAGAATGCAACCGCGCTTTTAGTGTGAGTGGCACCACACTCCGGACAAGACAATGATCCGAGTAGTCAAAAGGGGTATCGACGGAGACCTCATATCTGTCCACATGAGAAGTCAGCAGAAGGTTCAACAGGGAAGGTGCATGATCCTCCGCATCTGGAATCCGCGTAAGCGAAGTGACCAGTTGTGTCAGACCATGAGAACAGATCTGCCCGGATGATCACGATAGCGTGGCGGCGGGGCGCCTTGATATTTTTGTTCAGCTTGCCTCGAGCAGTTGTCTTGAGCGGAATTTGACCCCCCCCCCCCGATAAGTTACAATATCAATATATATTGTAACTTATCGGGGGGGGTCATATATTACTATATATATATATTTGCTTTGGCTTAATCCATCTTAGTATATTGTATTCCTCCATGGGTTGAACCTACAAAATCTTAATTTCTAGAAGTTGAAAGGGCACAGAGAAATGTACTAAAAATTCTGTATTTTAAACCAAAAGGATTCCCTACAGAAGATCCTCATGCCATAAGTAATTTACTTACTGTTAGGAAACCGTATATCTTATGTTCAGTTCTGCCATGCAAGACTGCATAAAGGTATAAAGTTTAACCGTTGTATTGTAGCCAAAAGAAGGAAAAACGTAGTGGCTACGGCTGTCGCTGTTAAAACTGTTTCAGTTAGGAGGAAATATGTAAAACAGTCATCGACTCTATACAACTGCATTAATAAAAGCATAAAAAATTCATCACGTCAACTACTATAATTGCAAATATGTTCTAACCGAATGGCTATTTCATAAGAGCTGTAATGACACTGAGGCTTTTTAAGCAATATGAAACAATGTAATTTATTTATAACACACACTCACTCGTGCGCGTGCGCGCACTCACTCACTCATTCACTCATTCACACCCTCCCATTCGCATTCGCATTACCATTCCCATACACACACACACACTACACGCTCGCGCGCGCATTTATATATGTACGTTTGGCGTGAATATTATTATTTTTTATTTAATTTTATAGTTAATTATTATGTAAAGATCATGTAAATAGTAATGCAAGTGCTATGGAAGAGTGAAGTCTCCTAACACAAGTTTTTATACTTAAAAGGAGACCTCATTCCCGGTTATAATTTATGTATGATCATTTACTGAATAAACTATTTTTATTTATTATTATTATTAAACCAATAATAGAAAATTTTACTACTTTTTGTAATACTTTATTATAAAATCTAAACAAAAATAAAAACCTGTTCGGCAGACAAACCCAAATGGGTTAATTAACTTATAGATTGCTAAAGTTCACTACATTGCAGTACTTTCGGTTGCAGTGATACCAGTTTAATTTTACAAAAATTGCATACACATTTGCTACGAAGTGGCAAGTTTCGATTCGACTAATTCGATCTTTATTTTATATAATATTTTGATAAAGACTAGTTATCGACTATATTAAATTATAATATATTCAGAATCGTGTTGGGATTGAGCTGAATATTTAAATAATTTGACAATATCCACTACACATCTAAGGGAAATGATTATTATTCATCACAAACTGATTTAGTTGCTATGAAATAAATTTTCGTTAATATATTTATTTTGTGTAGTAAATTATATTTATTTTAAAATGGCTTATTCTTCACTTCATGAACTGTGCTAGCAACACTTGATATTTTAAGAAAATATTCAGGAAGTACGAGTTTTAACAATAATATTATGTTAAAAATATTTACAGATGAAAAGCCACGTTGTCCTTTTGTAGATTTGAAGGTTTTGATTGTTTTTTGCATGAAAATACACTGCAATTCAGCATTTTTGTCGGAGCTCGATTGACTGGCACGATCACTTGCATAATGGCGCACGACACGGAGCAACTAGTTGTATATAATGGGTTTGAGTTGGATTCTCGTACCTTTTACAGAGGGGTATGCCTCGTAATGCTGTCTCCTTTGTTTTAATACTCAAAGCCCAACATCGATGTTCGATGTTTACACTACTCAAAAAGGATGTTTTTCGCACACGTATTTAAGGCCGGCAACATACATACGGAATTACGATTCGGGATTCCGTACATACATCACACACATACGTTTTTTTCCGTTCGGAATAACAAGGCTCAGTTGAGAGATACCAGCCATTGAGTATCTGTATTTATATCTGTATTCAGCCAGCGAATATGGAGGACGATATTACGATTGCATCGTTAATATATCTGGCCAAGAAGAAAACTTATTGCCACCGTTACTGAGTCCATCCCTTCAGCCCACAAGCGATCGAATCCGACCGCGGCGCTATTCTGTCAAAATTTAAGCGGTTGAATTCGACCTAGCACATCCACAGCACATTAAAACATTAAAACTTATATTTAGAGACTACTTTTTTATGAAGAAGTTTGACATTATAGATTTCTCTAGTGCAATAAAAAGTCAAGTTATCTTATGGATAATTATTTATAATCTACGTTAATTTCGTACACCATTTTCGCGTGAATGTTATTGTGTTGATTTTTGGATTTTTCTAGTGTTTTATTAGTGTTTTAGTATAGTATTTTATTATAAAATTTTAATGAAAGTTTTTGTGTGAATATAATGTATCTTTTTACGTAAATAATTTCGAGTAATATATTAGTAGTTTTTGTCCTAAAAGTTATATTTTATATTAATTAGATTAAAATAAATAATCAAACCACTGAGGCACTGTTTTGTGTATTAATATTATAATACTCTAGAATCCTATACCACTAGAGTCCTATATCAGTCTTTGGAAAACTATGTATGTAAAATGAAATTAAAACGCTTGCTTTCGCAATGCAGGACACAATAAGTGAGTATTCGTCATGATGAAAAATATAATCTTCTATGTACTAGAGCTTCGGTTATGCGAGCTACACTGGGCGCGTTTCGTACGGAACTTACGAATGTGTGTTATCATACAAAATCTATGGAAGACTTGCATTCGGCGACTTTTTTCCGTTCCGGATTTCGAACGCACAGGCGATCGTAGGGATCTCGAATCGGAGAAAATTCCGTACGGAAAAATACGGTACGCGTGTATCATTGATTTTATATGAACCTGCTACGTTCGGAATCCCGAATCAGAATTCCGAAACGGAATCTCGAAACGAAATTCCATAAATATGAGGCGGGCCTAATAGTTTTTTAGAATTAAATGAATAAAAATAGACATGTTGTTTACGGTGTAGTATTAACAATGAAATAAAAGAAATTAATAAACAATTTACTTAGTTTAAAACAGTAATTAAGCAAATTGGAAGAAGTTAACAAATATCTAGTTAATTTGTTATATAGTCAATTTTTTTTTGCTATTTATTGAAGAGATAGTTCTCTGATTCTCTGTTGATAAAGAGTTGAGCAAGCTTTTGAAAATAACCTTCCAATAATCGATTATGGGTTCATTGACATCGATGTTTCGATGTTTGACATATGGCAACATCGATAATTTAAACTTGAACATCGATAATCATCGAACATCCCTACATTGACGCCGCCATTTTGCTTAAATTCGATGTTGATTACGTTTTGAAAATAAGATAGAACGTGTGGAAGCACGAAACTTTCCTTATTTTAAAGATTTACTCGATCCAATATATTTGTTTTATAAGGTGACAACAAAAATTGTGCTATGTCGGCTCACGAACAAATGAGGGCAATGTTGGATCAATTGATGGGTACAGCTCGTAATGGTTAGTAGCATTTTTATTATTTTTCATTATTATTTTGTCGTTTGGTATTTATGTCCGTTATCTTTTTAGGCGAAACTGATAGACATGGAGTCAAATTTTACGACGATTCGGTATGCAAATCATTTTTACTGCAGTGCTGTCCACATGAAATTTTATCTTCAACGGTAAGTTGTAAAACTTTCCTAGCTTATTTATGGGCTGCAGGAAGTTCATATTTCTGAGATTTCATTCTTCGTATAACAATTGCTTTTTTTAAATTTTCTATCCTTCCTCCCAACTTTTTTCTGCTGAATTTGCCTGCATACTTTTAGCCTGCATTTATACTATGGTTAAATTAAATTTGCTGCAATGATCTCTCAGGAATATTTTTGCCATTGCAGTATCCTTTATTCATATACAATAGGATGTTTTGATTTTTTTATATTATACCTTAATCAATAATACTTTTTAAAAGTATCCTAATGTATGTGATCTATTCATACTTTCATATTTTGCATTATGATGTTCTATGTAGAAGTCTGGAAAATTCTTACATCGGAGTGGCATTAACTGTGGTAAAATATGCTTTTCAGAAAATGCCCAACACTAGTCTTTATTGCTCATCACAATACTTAACAGATGAGGGATAGATTGTATGAGTTAGGCTGTTCTGTAAGTACCAAGATGTACGTATAAAAAATTTCTAGTTAGCTGATTGTATTTTTACTGCTAAGCAGAATTTAATTTACGTGACTCTCAGGCTTAATTAAAATAATTTAATTATCCAACGGTTACTAATGCTGCTTCGGTGAGTACATATACAATAAAATCATTTAAAATCGTAAGCTGGGAGTGAGCAATATGCTGGTTTGTTCTAACTTCATTGGGTATGTACAATGCTGTTTCATGGCTAGATTACAGAACAAAAAATTGTATGCATGTGAATTTCAGATAAAGTTAATATATATTTTTTTAAAGTGATACTTGTGTCGAGCACTACAAGAAAACAAGAGATAACTTTCAAAGAGACTTAAACATGCTGTTTTAAAATAGAAAAATAATTTTTCCAAATTTTTTCTCATTTGAAAAACTATGCAATGTGGAAAAATTATCATACAAATTGTCATTGATTAAACAATTACTGGATTTGCATATTTTACCTTTAACTGTGGATATGAAACATTTGTTCACTGTGGATTCTCACATACTCCCAGGATTGGCTATATTTGTCTGGTGCTTGATTTTAATTATGTTTTCAATTTTGAAGGCTTGTCAAGGTTAATGTTGAACCTTTTACACTGTCTTTAGATGTTGGAAATTGGTTTTGAATTAATTAGGATAAAAATAAATATAGTGATGTTTATTTTTATCCAAAATTGCATATAACAAAATGCAAGTATGTCAATTTGGTCCTTGTATTATGAAGTAGATGTCTGATACTTGATTTTAATTATGTTTTCAGTTTAAGAGGTTAGTCAGGGTTAAGCTTGAACCTTTTACACTGTTAATGGATTTCAAAAATTGTGCTTGGAATTAATTACGATAAAAATAAATTTCACTAATAATTGCATATATAGAAACACAAATATGTCAATTTGTTGTTTTTTAACATGGGTACAATCATATAAAAGTTAATCACTCAGACCCAGACAGTGAAGAAAGATAAGGACTTAAGTCCCATTTTTATTCACTGTCCCGTCTTTAGCCACAAATGGATTGTGTCAGAGTGTTCAGACAAATTGGGTCGCCATAGCAAATCGCAGGCACCTGTGCAAGCCATAGCGGCTCAGGCTGGTAGCCAAAGTCGACCAATAAGGCAAAGCTGCATAGGTGAGCATGCGATTTGCTACGCAAGAGCAGAGGCTGCACTCCCCGCAGTCTCAAAGTTATTGCAGAAGTAATTTTGGGTCAATATTCCTGTGTAAAAATAGAGGTTACAATTTAAAAAAAAATCATTACTAATAAACTACACTTTACCGCAAGAGGGAATAGGGCTTCTCAGAAACCCATCTTCTCACCCACCTCCCCCCACCCTCTCTTATGCAAGTAACGAATGTCTGTATTTTTACTGACTCCCATGCGCACAGTCAACGTTATCATTAAAATTAATTTAGATAATTAAAAACAGTAATGATATGTAATAATATGTATCTAATAATAGACAAACGAGTAAAGGTAATCAGCATTTATTATTATAAATTTAAAATAATGAGTATTAATATTATAACACTTTTCAGCCTTAATCTTTATTTTAGTATCTTAAATCTAATAGTAGAACACTTTTTTCATGACATTAAAAACCACCTAGAACTAGCTTCATACTCAGCTTACTTTCATTTTCATATAATATTATGTTGAAGTGCATCCCTAGTATTACAAAACTATTTACATTACTACTACGCCCTAATGTTCTTAATTTTTTTTTTAATGACAAAAAATCTAAATGAGTGCAAAAATATCTTGTGTGACAACAATGGATAATACACTCCTGGCTGATTTACCTTCCACACATATGACAATGCTAATTCCACCTCCCACCACCTTGGTTGTTTTACAAATAAAATTAAAGGTACAACAATAAAGGAGATGTTTGATAGCAATGGATTATTCCGTTTATTAACTTAAGAAATACACCCTAGATGGGGGTGTATATTCGGACTTCATATGTATTATTTTTCCTCCGATTTTCTCACTCAGCTGTGTCATTTATAGAAACTACATAAAAACTGGGCCAAGATACTTGTAGACATCACCTATAAAAATATGTCCATACTTCTTGTTTGAAAGCTCAACGCTGAAATAAAAGGAGTATCTCACACCATTACAGATTCATTCTAGGCATGAAATAATTTAAAATTAAAAGTTAAAGACAAAAATCCAAAAGTGATGTTTTTCGATTCTTAGAAAAAAATGCTCAGGTCTTCGCTAACTCATCTGTTGCCGAAAAAAAGTTAAAAAACGATTGCAAATGTATGTTAAATTAAAAAACGATTGCAAATGTATGTTAAAACGAATTTCATTATTGAGTAGAAGTAATTTGATATCGTAGATAAATTTGTCACTGCAGAATTTGTAAACTACCAATGTTGTTTGAAAAAAGGAAATTTAATTTGATTTGAATGTAGTATGTAATACATAGACTTTAATAAGCTGTAACAATAATGGTAAATCGTAATATATTATTTGATAAGGTTTATGATTATTAAAAATTAATTAATAATTAAAGTGTAAGTGTTGAACTGTACTTGGGGTGAATAGTCAGAAGAACGAATAAAAGAGAATTCCGATTATCCAACCTGACATGCGTTTCCGAGTATACACACTCTAAGGTGGATTTTTTAGGGTGGATAAACCGAATAACCTATAGCAATGAGTAGGAAGAAGTGTTCTATTTTAAATATTTTTCAATTACTTGGAGCCTGTGAGATTACCACATTCACAGCTAAAGGTTAATACAGCTTGCACAAGACTGCATATTATTGTTATGATGAATAAAAAAAAGTACTTTGTCTCTTATAATTATTTTTATTAGTTAAAGGCTATCTCTTAAACTAACTGTGCTATTAAAATATAGTTAAATCTTTAATTTTATGGAAATATGACAATTATTGATGATTAAAAAAACAATTATTCATTATTGAATATTAATTCATCTTACAATATTGTATGTAACTTATTTGTATCATCTGAGTAAAATATAAATGCTGCATCCTTTATTAATTAATAAAATTACTATTTATTACTCCACAATAATAAACTATATTATTGATTTTTAAACTTTTGCCAATAAAAAGGTCATAATGAATTCTTGGTAAGACTCCTTTTTTGCCTTGAGTCTTGTTTTTTTTTACCTTCTATTTCGTTTGAAGTTTGTTGTAGCTGTGCATGGTCTGCAGTAGCCACTTCTCATCATGTGAACTACAAACTCATTTGCTACTTCAGTTTTATATGAAAATAACAACAATAAGTGTGTTATGAGCATGCCACATGCATGGTCACTGTTGCCTACAGACGCAAGGCATATATTATACTCCAATGGCTTGACTACTATCCCGCCTGATGGTAAGTGGTTGTTCAGACGAAAATGATAAAGTGCACTTTAAGACACCCACATAATAATCGGATGGAATGACATGCTGGTAGACTATTCCACTTCTTTGCTGTATGCATTTTGAACGACGAAGCAAATTTGGTTCAAATGCATGATATCTCGACAACAAAGGGGTGAAGACCAGCTGAGTGTCTGGTGGTCCGATGATGGAATGAAGAGGAAGGAATTAAGTCATGCAATCTTGCAGACAATCATAATATATAAATCATGTAACATAATTAATTCACTTTGAGAAAGTAGTTTGTTCAGAATCGTTTACTGCATCGATTTCTATCATTTTTAATATAGGTAATTTTATATCCCAAAAATAATTAAAACTACGTAAATTACAGTCGCACTAAATCTGTACAGTCAAAACAAACTGAAATGGACCGTAACTTAAGGCTTACCGTAGCTTAAGACTTAAGAGTGCAGTTTTATTTGTATTATTACTAATTCTGTCATTCAATAAAAATAAAGAAAAATGAACTTTATTTCAAGCAAGTCTTTGCGTTCGTGGATTTGTACTGTGACCACAACATTCTTCCGGAATTAGTATAACTAATTTGATAATCAGTGCATAAAAATGTTTAACTAAAAATTCGGTGTATGTGTTATGATTATAATATAATATACTAATTGGGGTGTCAGAGAGTGTGCGTTAATTACGTTACATATTGTATACTTATATATATATATATATATATATATATATATATATATGATAAAATTAAAATATTTTTTTTTTTTATATATTTTTTTTTTAATTAACGCACTTTGAGAAAGTAGTTTGTTCAGAATCATTTACTGCATCAATTTCTATCATTTTTAATATAGGTAATTTTTTATCCCAAAAATATTTAAAACTACGTAAATTACAGTCACACTAAACCTGTACAGTCAAAACAAACTGAAATGGACCGTAACTTAAGGCTAAGACTTTTAAGAGAGCACTTTTATTTGTATTATTACTAATTGGGTGCGTTTGGCAGAAAAAAGCGCTAGCAAGCGCTTATAAGCGCTAAAATAGTTTTCGGCCAGGACACGATTGCTACTTCAGTAGCGCTGACACAATCCGCCATTTTGCTTATTTAATTTGTTTGTTTTGAAGTAGAGTTTATAAGTTGTTTTGTGCAATATTAGTTTTAAGTAATATAATGACATGAATAAACATATACATGCTATTAAAAACTCATGATTGGTAAGTTTTTAATATGAATACTTTACAAACATATATTTAAATTAGGTTAGATTCCACGGTTAAAACTAACATCGTGTCCTGGAGGAAAATAGCTACTTACGATTTGACAGCGCTTACCGCTTACTATCGCCATTTTGCTTACAAGCGCTTGCTAGCGCTTTTTTCTGCCAAACGCACCCATTCTGTCATTCAATAAAAATAAAGAAACATGAACTTTATTTCAAGCATGTTAAAGTCTTTGTGTTCGTGGATTTGTACTGTGACCACAACATTCTTCCGGAATTAGTATAACTAATTCGATAAATAATCAGTGCATAAAAATGTTTAACTAAAATTCAGTGTATGTATTATGATTATAACATAATATACTAATTGGGGTGTCTGAGGGTGTGCGTTAATTGTTACATATTGTGTATATATATATATTGTATGACACAATTTGTACTAGTAATGGTTGCAATATTTGTAAAGATAGAAGTTGTGCCTTTGGGCTATCATGGCCACATTAATTATTGATATGATTAGTTGATTAGGAAAATGAATTAAAAAATTGTCATATAATATTATTTATGGACGTATTTTCTTAATTAATGTATCCGGATGCAGCATTTATTGCAGTTAAAAAGGTGATATGTATACATATGTTCTGATGTGTGAGTGTTTCAAGGGCTAGTTAGGAATTTCGAGAGGGTGTGTCCACTATGATTTGTAAGTATTATAAATTATGGTATTTACTGGCTGATGAACCAGGGCCAGGGTGAGCTGTCGGTGACATTGTATGTATTTTATTAAAACAATTTTTTATTGAATTATATTATGAAGGGTTGTCTTTTTTATTAATTATATGTTTCTTTTTTACTGAATCTTAATTTCAAATAGAATATTTAAAATTATCTTAAATTTTATCCTTTACAGTTCTAGTAATGAAATAGCCTTACAATATTATTTTATTAAAAATTAAGTGTGTCGCATTATAAACAATAAGTGATGACAACTACATTATTCATAATTCATTGATTGCCATCAATAATCAAGATGCATTTACTTCCGTTTAAAAATGTACTTTGCATCACATAGTTAGTGGATTTAAAATCATTGTTAGGCAAAACTTTTTGGATAGACTTCTTCATGTATCAAGGGTATTAAAAACTGTTTTAATTACTGATAGTAAATGATTTTAATTGCAGCGGATGGATTTAGGTGAGTGTCCAAAAATACATGATCTGGCCCTTCGTGCGGATTTTGAATTAGCATCGAAAACCAAAGATTATTTCTATGACATTGATGTAAGTATATTATTTTTATTTCTGTCTTTTTATCTATTTATGAGTATGTTTTAAATTGAAAGAATTTATTCATTCATCGTTGCATTTGCTCTTGCTCAGTATCCATGCAAATTTGTAGAAATGTTGAATTCTGGAATAAAATAAGCCTTTCAATGCAAATGGTGAAACCATTTTGCATTTTTGATAACATTTCGATATGCAGAAGCACATATGTCAAATAAATCAACGATGAGATCTTTCTGTATGCTTATCTTGTACATATTTATATACCACTATTGTACTGCAATGGAAATGACAATATGTAATTGTCATTTTAACGTCTGTGAATTTATCATTTCACTGAGGGATTTGTTCAAATCCCTGTTTTATTATATGCTTTGCGACATATACATTTCTAACCATCTCAGAAAAAGCTAAAGAAAACCACAGGTTTTTTTTTGATAAGATTTTGTTTACTATGGCTTGCTTTTCTTTAATTCGAGATGAACATGTCTAATCACAATCACATATACAGTCTATCATGCAATTTTAAAAATGGAATATATCAAGGCTCTTAGAAACCTATTATATTATAAAATGCAGCTTAAAGAACACCGGGTATTTTGAATATTGGGAATAATTTGGAATTCCATGCAAACAGTAAGTAGTCTGGTTTAAAATTCAATTAAATGCCTCACTACTAAATTATGAATAACAATTATGTTCATATTATTTAACTAGTCTTAAACAGCTACTGCAGCACATGGGATATGTCCATGAAGACTGTAATGGAGTGTTTCATAGTTTATTATTATTATTAAATGTAAAAAAAAAAATATTGTAGCTTAAATGTGGAAAAAAAAAGTATTTTGCGGTAGAGATAGATAGATAGGTAGAAAACTTCTAGAACTTTAAGAGTTCTGTCCATCAGAACTCTTAAAGCTCAGTGGTTTTGTAAAATATTTTTTTATATTACTTTAAATTCATAGATGTTGAATCATTTTTAATTTATTTCAATACTGTAAACATTACAACAACTACCGCCATGAGTGTGACATGGAGATTACACATGACCTTTGTTTTGTCTATGTTCATCTTAAGACCTATCTGTTAGGAGAAACTATTGAGGTTATTGGGCACAGTACTGAGGTTCTAAAGCGATTCTGTCATAAGGACTATATCGTTGGCAAATCGAAGGTGAGTGATGTACTTGGCATTGATGTTAATACCATATACTTTCCAGTTCTGTAGCTTGAAAACGTCTTCCAATGCAGCGGTGAAAAGTTTCGGTGGTACAAAGTCACCCTGTCTTACACCCCTCTGCAGTTGGATAGGTTTCGTACTCTGGTTCTGTATTCGGATAGCCATCGTAGACCTACTGTACAAACACATCAGCACTTCGATATACCGACAGTCAACTTGGCACCGCTGAAGGGACTAACACCGCCCAAATTTTGACAGAATCAAAGGCTTTCTCATAGTCCACATACGCCAGGTAAAGTGGCAGATTCCCCAGGGTATGTATGTGGTCTATGGTACTGAAGCCTTTTTGGAAACCGGCTTGTTCGGGAGGCTGGAAGTCGTCGAGTCTGCGTGCGATACGATTCATAATGACTCTAAAACAGCACATAAACGCGGCTCAAAAGCGAAAGTAGTTTTTCAAGAGAGCGTTGTCGCCTTTCTCGAAGAACAAGACCACCACACTTCTGCTCTACGCCTCCGGAGTAGTCCCACCATGAAGGATGGAATTAAAGAGCTTCTGAAGGACTTCAAGTACCGGTTTTCCACCCGCTTTCAGAAGGTCCGCTGTAATTCCATCCTCGCCCGGGGCCTTGCCGTTTTTAAGGTACTCGAGAGCCATTCTAATCTCGCTCAGACTGATGTTCGGGATATATTACTAAGCTCGAAGTTGTTGATGAGTACGTTTACCTGGGACAAATAGTCCCACTAGGTAAGTCCAACTTCCACCGAGAGTTCAATCCACTGATTCAACTCGGCTGGGTAGCGTTCAGGAAGTTACGATACATCTTCTGGTCAGGTGTACCTCAAAATCTGAAAACGAGATTGTATAACCAGTGCGTGTTGCCAGTGATGACTTACGGATCTGAGACTTGGTCGTTCACTGCGGCCGTATGAGGACGCTCAAAGTCGCACACCGTGGAGGAGGGCTATGCTCGGGGTTTCTTTGCGTGATAAACTTAGAAATGAGGATATCCGCAGTAGAACCAGAGTGTCCAACATAGCCCATAAGATTAGTAAGCTGAAGTGGCAATGAGCCGGCCATATAGCTAGAAGAACCGACAACCGATGGGGAAAAAAGGTTCTCGAGTGGCAGCTTCGTACCTGTAGGCTAAGTGTAGGGCGACCCCTCACTAGATGGAGTGACGAACTGGTAAGGTATGCAGGAAGTCGATGGATGCAGGTGGCTCAGAACCATGCCTTGGGGGAGGCCTATGTTCAGCAGCGGACTAGGGAAGGGCTGTGATGATGAACGATGACTGTACTAATATATAAATAATTAACTAATTATCTTGCATTTTTATCTTATAAAGGCCACAGAACATTTAGAGGCGTTTATAGCCGATTGTGACAAAAGAACAGCAGCAGCAAAGCAGCGTCTGGCTGAAACACAGGAAGAACTCTCAGCTGAAGTGACAGAGAAGGCCAATGCAGTTCACGAGTTAGCTGAACAGATCGGTCAGAAGTTGGCCCGTGCAGAAGCCCTCGGTGAAGAGGGTATGGTCGAAGAGAGTGTCAAACTTATGGGAGAGGTAACATCTCTAAGAAATTTATAGCGAGTTTATATCTGCTGTGTAAAATATTTAAAATTTTACTGACATGTATTTTTAGATTGACGAATTACGCAAGAAAAAGGCAGTAGCTGAACAGGAGTACCGTAATTCGATGCCAGCATCTTCATATCAACAGCAAAAATTAAGAGTTTGCGAAGTGTGTTCTGCATATCTAGGTATTCATGACAATGACCGCAGACTTGCTGATCATTTTGGTGGAAAACTTCATCTCGGATTTATTACAATCCGAGAGAAACTTGCCGAACTTAAGGTAACTCGAAGATTAGATTATTGTATTATGTTTTAAGATCTAATGAAACTTAGACTTAGTAAATAAATTAATGAAAATTACGTTTCTTCATGAAATATATGCCATTAATATTTTGCAGAAAACCGTTGAGAAAAGGCGTGAGGAACGTGGTGCGTTTGAACGTGAACGCGGTGGAGGTCGACGTCACTACGTCGGTGGACGGGAACTAGATCGCAGAGCGCGACGTCATAGAGAATCCGCCCGCGACAGAGACCGCGAACGTCCTAAAGACGGAGACCGAGACAAAGAACGCGAACGGGAACGAGAACGCGAGCGTGGGAAAGAACGCGAGAGGGACCGGGATTTAGAACGCGAACGGGAAAGGAGGTGAGCTGAAACCATTCTTTAAATTATTCTTTAGGGTTTTAATATAGACTTCATATTATGGATGAAGCATATATTACTGGTACAAGTTTTAAAACGAAGTAAGTATATATAATTCTAGTATGCAGACCAGATACAGACCAAAAGTCTAGGTATATAACGTAAAGGTATTCCGTCTGTTTATATGACTGTTCTGTTTTGCACTTGGCGCCGCCGGCCGGTTGCAAACTTTTGTCGAAGCTTCCCAAAGAGTTCCGGCGGAACCTGAAGTAAGTCGTATTGTTAAGGTATTCACCACAGTATATTATTTGATAACACAAATTTAGTACTTAATTTATAAACAAGCGCTTTTTAAAAATATTAAATTAAAAAAATAATATACCACTGTTTTATATTTCTACATTGCCATCAGATTCTGAGCTGTGTTCAAAATTTAAAGTAGGGAAGTTTTAGTGAAGGTAGTATTCGAAATTTGAGTTGCAAGATTCCTCCCAGAACGACAGACAGACAGATATCCAGACTGCCAAACAATAAAGTGACTCAATAAAAATGTAAAATTATTATAAGGGATGTAATTGTGTCATAAATGTTAAAAGCATATTTTGATTTCTTTATGCTAAAGAGTTTTTAATATTCTAGTTTTAATTCAGTTTTGATTTTTATATCACTGTATACAGCTTGAAGAACAACATTAACTGACGGCTACGTAATTTTAGAACATTTTCCACCGTTTATTCAATTTACTAACAGCCCGCCTATTTCAAGCACACCGTCGTCGACCGTAATTAAATGACGTCATAAGTACGAGTACTACTATAACTTTATAGTGTAATTGACAAAAAAGATTATTATTATTATTTATTAATTTTTAAGACAAACATTATTATGGTAATACTGCTTAAAAGTATTACTTTTGCCTTCAAATTAATATCCCATCGAGATATCTTTGAGGGTTTTTTTTATTTTGTCTGCTTTTGTACTAATGATTTCTTATATTTACGCGAACACTACTTACATTGATTAAAACTACTTTTACGGATTTTATCGCGTTTTATTTATTTTATTTTTAATACCCGACTTTTCGGGTGCTTTCCAGCACCCATGGTTACAAGGGGCTTGAGGTGACTGACGTCCCAATGTCAAAGTTAACCCGGAGTATCTGCAGCTTTTTAATTATTGTCTTTGGTCCGATCTACGCAGAATGAAGTAACTGTGTTTTGAAGTCTTGCAGTGGTATGCTTGGGTTTAGTTTTAATTTTATTAATTTTAGGGTCCCAAGCAGGTGGTAGTACCCAGCCTCCTTCTCTCTCTTTTTAATTTCAATAGCCTCGCGTATCATCCTTAGTAGGAATCGAAGTTTTTCCCCAGGAATTGTGGTCTATCAAACCTGATGTAATGATAGGGGCCATCTAGGATATGATCGCAAACTGCAGACTTCCCGGAACGTGAAGCATCAACGTGAACGTGTGAAGGACTTTGACTTCGTAGATCATGCAAAACTTTTAAATAAACTTGAGATATACGGTGTACGGGGCAATACTCGTGATTTATTAAAGTCGTACCTCTGTGAAAGAACTCAAATCACGAGTATAAGTAAAATCTGTTCCAAACATAAAAATGAAATTCATTATCTAGATTTAGTCCTAGAAGAGTTAGATTTGGTGTTCCACAAGAAAGTTTTCTGGGACCACTGCTTTTTATTATTTATATTAACGACCTACCTAAATATACTAACAATCGGATGGATATTGTTTGCAGACAACTGTACAGTTATCAATTTTACTGAAGAAGTGAGTGGTTGGTTACAAGACAATAATTTAATAATAAATGTACATAAAACTAAATTAATACAATTTAAACAAAAAACGAATCATAATTTTAATACAAAAATTCAGTATAATGACAAAGAAGTTCAAATAACAACAATAACAAAGTTTCTTGGCGTTCACATTGATGAAAATCTGAAAGGGAAAAGCCATATTGAATTTGTATGCAAAAAAGTGTCACAGCCATCTTATAATCTATATATGCTAGCAAAAAAGTCTTTCCACGCTACCCATACCATATCATGTTTGTGTTGCGTCCAGGCTTAGATATGCAATAGTCTTTTGGGGAAACGCCACTGACAGGGATAGTGTTTAAATGTCAAAAAAGGTAAATCCGTGCTATGTGTGATTTAAATAAACTGGTAGCTATAAGGATTATTTCATGAAATTAAAATTATTTACCGTACCATCACTATACATATTTGAAATAGTTTTATTTATCAGGCAATATTCGATTCGAGATTTCGCAATAGAAGCAGATTATATAATAACCTTGCTAGAAAATGTAAAACCATCCTGTGAGGGAAAAGTGTTTAGCTATGGCTCCAAAGATATACAATAAGATCTCGAATAACATCAAAGAGTGTAACGATATATATACTTTCAAAAATAAATTGTTTCACTTTCTAATTGAACATTCATTTTATTCTACTGATGAATTTTTGTCGAGCTTTCAGAGTTAAAAGTCCAGTTGATGACATAATGAAATTGTACATATAATAAATTTTATCTGAATAATCTAATCCAATGTTAATAATATTTAAGATGCATAATTTAATCCATTATCATTTATCACAGTATTATAAAGGCATACAAGTAGGACGACGGCTTTGATCTCGTGATAAATGCCGACATCGTCTGGACACCGCATGGAGGCTAGGGTTGTCACAAATTAATTAATTTTACAAATTAAATTATTAATTTGGGATCTACATCGCCATCAACAGTCGTTGGTTGGTAACAGTAACGTTGGTATAGTTGTTTTCTTCAGTGATTTTTTTACCGTGCATACTCTTTTCGAAATGTAAACTGCAAATGTATGTACACTCGGCGTCAAAAAAATCGCACATCCGAAAAAAATAATTTAAATACTATTTTAACACAACAGGCCAATGGCAATGTTGTGGTTTGAGGGTATCATTCGAAAGGTAATTTCATTAGCTTTCAGGAATTTTAATTGAATTTTACTTTTATAACGAGACGAAGGAGAAATTAAAGAAAAAGACAGGGTATGTACAAATTTGCAAATTAATAATTTAAAAGAACTTAATAAATACAAAAAAAAGTTCTTAAAACTAGTGTTATCCCCCCCCCTTGCATTGATAACGGCTTCCATGCGATCTTTCATGGACCTTACAAGGGTCGCAACAGCCTCTTGGGGTATTGTTCCCACTCTTCAAGTACCACATCTTGGAGCTCTTGAAGAGTGGTTGGAGCTGGATCTCGAGCTCGCACGCGCCGTTTTAGGTCATCCCAGAGATGTTCTATTGGGTTAAGGTCTGGATTTCGTGCAGGCCAATGCATAACAGGGATATCGACCTCCTGTAAATAATCCCGTACAATAGCCGCGGTGTGGCAACGAGCATTATCAATCATTAACATGAATCCATCACCGACATAATCAGCATACGGGACCACATGTTCCTCCAGGATTTCAGTAATGTACCGACCAGCATTTAATGACCCTTGCCCACGGCCACCCCGAGTCCGGGAAACGCACACAAGTTCGGTTTTCCGTCGACGGAAATCCCAAAACATACACTAGCCACCCCCGTATTCGACGGATTCTTCGAAGCAGGGTTGTGTGTATCTCTCCCCCTGTCTTCTGGAGACCCTTCTACGTCTATCATTGCAGAAGAGACAGAACCTCGTCTCATCAGAGAAGAGTACGGTCCGCCACTGTTCTAGAGTCCACTCGCAATGATTGCGAGCAAACTCTAGGCGATCTCTGCGATGCTGTGCAGTAAGTTTTGGACCTTTAGCAGGTCTATGGGCTGTTAAACTCTTTTCGTGTAACCTTCTTCTTATCGTAGAAACACTCACAGATGTTCTCCGAGTTGATCGAAGCTGTTGTTGCAACTCAACAGCATTTGTAAAACGGTTTCGTAAAGATGTAACGATGAAACGGCCATCTCTTTCTGATGTGCACCGTTTTCTTCCAGATCCCGGTTTTCTAACATAACCACCAGTCTGCTGAAAATGTTGGAACACCCGTCGAACTGAAAAACGGGACAGATTCAACTGTCTAGCAACGTCACACTGCCGCATCCCCGACTGCAATAGGGCAATCACTTAGCGGCTTCTTCAGAGCTGGTGTCCATCTTTACTTGTTCTTACTTGGGTTACTTGTTCACGTGTGTTCACTGCAAAGTCTAAATTACGACTGACACATATTTCATCCACCTTTTATACCCTTTTTAGATGGTGTAACTAGCGTCCTTACTAACGAGCATTTGACAGTGTTTATTTTTGACGCTCTATAATGATAAATGTTTTAATGATTTCATAATTTTTTTATTAATAATGTAAAGCTACTCAAATACCCATTTCAAACATACCAATATTTATATAAATATAATTCGTTTCTAGCCATTACAGCCATTTTTCGCGCAAACTCAGAGAGGTGCGATTTTTGTGACGCTGAGTGTATTTCTTTATACTTTAAAAAGTTCTTCCAACTAAATTAGGTCTTCCAATAAATTTCATCCATAATTTGTATCTAAATTTTAAATACAATACCTATTAATAAATTTTCATAATTGTCACCCCCCCCCCCAGAACCCCAAAATTGACATCTGTATCATATTACTAAGGCCGATGCAGATGTAAAGGCCAGTACCTTTATCATAAACGGAGCGGAGTAAAAGTCTAAAGCGCGCGCTTTTGCTTTACATGTATTTTCCCGTAGACAATTTAGTTTTTGGTTATTTCTTTTAGACAAATTCAGATTTTTATTGTTAACAAACCTTGTTTGCGTTGAGCTACAAATATTGCCGAAAATATGTAAAATTAGACTACGGGTTACGGAGGAGATTGATTTTAAAGAATCTATCTCCTCCGTAACCCGTAGGCGTCTGGTGAACGTATATTTTGAGGTCTTATCTTCATCTAAAACAAATCCAAATTTAGAATGAATACTACCAAGATCAAAATTAACTTTGGTTCAATTTAATTAAGTGACATACGGAGATTACAAAATTAAAAAAAAAATCTTCACCTATTCCCTAAATATAATAAATAAGATTATAAAGTAGCACATCTATTTCTCGCTTAAACTCGTCGTTGGCGTTTAGGTGCCAATTATGTATGTCGCTTGTAAGCGTTGTTGGCGTTCAAAGGGTTAATGTAATTTGTTGTTAGTAAAATTCTATTTGTACCTATAGATATTGTTGAAATAGGCATGCTATTTTTATTAGCTTATTCATTTACTCTATTGCGAAGACTAAATGAATGCAGAAGTAACTTTGGGTCAATATTCCTGTGTAAGAAAGTGAGGTAATGATTTTATAAAAAATCATTACTCAAACTATACTTTTACGCTAGAGGGAAGGAGGGGTTTTCCTTGCACCACCACCTTTGTTTCCTACGCAGTTAGTTAACTGCCGTAAAAGTTATGGCCCTGATCGAAATATGTCATCACCATAATATAATATTGCAAGGGTATTTAATTGAACAGGCGTAGTCGGTCCCGAAGCAGAAGCAAGCGCGAGAGTTCCCGCGAGAGGTCGCGCTGCTCAGAGCGCGAGCGAGACCGCGACTCGCGGCGCAGCAAGTCGCACCGCCGCTCCACCTCGCACGAGCGCAGGAGGGACTAGCTGGCCGCGCCCTGAGGCGGCCCTCAGCATAACTAGGTTGTCTTTTTTATTTAAACATTTTCTTTTTCATGAACTGCTTGAGTTGATAGTTTGTAAATATAGTAAGCGGCACGCACTATGATACAGATTCTCACTTGCACTTGAAAAGTTTTTAAGTGTATTTGGTGGCAGACAATGAAGTGCTACTCCATCGATTTAGTCGGTACTTGGTACGCAGTCGTGTCCCACTAATAGTACATGTTTGAAATTCGTGCCGGCTGCTATATATGATTATTGATAACTTAAGCTGAATTTAATTTTAATTGGGAGGCTATACATAAAGTGAACGAAACACAACTCTCGTGGGATGTTTTATTTTTAAGTCAAACATACCTGGCAATCACAGGTAGTGCGAAAACAAGACTGGCGTTGAATTTGGGGGCGATCCCTTATTCGAATGTAATAGATTTTGATACAATAACGTAAAATGTATTTATGTATGCTTTAACTAGTTTGTTTTCGTACCATAGATTTGTTGAAAATATTTTGAATTGTAAACACTGACTTCTATATATATAAATACGCTGGACTGGCTATAATATACAAAATGTCTGTGCCAATTTGAAGCACCTCTAATGTTCGTCTTGGAAACTAAAATTGACATAATATGCCAGACTCTGTTCTTATTTAACCCTTTCGCTGCTCCACACGTATATATTCGCAAAAAAAACTTGTGTATCATACGCTCCCGACGAATATTTTCGCGCTTAGTTTTAAATTAGTTAGCTGCTCAATACGACTATTTTTACTATGTATTATTCATGTTTTAAAAAAAATAAACTGCTCTACACGAATAAACTCGCAATACTTAATTTCTTTAAACAGCTCAACACGAATTAATTCGCAGCGTTTAAATGGTCAAACTGCTCAACACGAATAAAGATGAAACTACTAAAATAAATGCGCACAGCAGGCACAAAATCTCAAAACGAATTGCGCAGCGAAAAGGTTAAATTAAATTATTTAAAAATCTGTATTTTGAACTTTTAAACTAAAAAACGAAAGTATTTTATGTTGTTTGATTGTGTGTAATATTAGTTACATAATAAGAATTATTTATAATAACAATGAGTGCGTACTCTGTAAAACTCCTTACCAAAAGGGTAGTGGTATAACATTTCACAAGTAAGTGAATTTGCAGTAAATATTAAACAAATTAAAACTATTTGGTAGTATAAGTACTTAAAAGGAGATGTTCCATAAATGTATGGAGCCTGGGCCAGCACTATGTACACTATATGTGAATATTGCTGTATAATATAGTAACCGTTTTTTATTGTTAGTTTTCTTTAATTTCACTGCGTTTCATTGTACATTCAAATTAACTTGGTCAAGGAGAGCAACACAACATAAAATTAAACATGGTGGATCCAGGTGGATCGGAACAGCAGTACGCGAAAAATGTCATATTGACAGTGACATTTGATTGACGTGTATAGTAATTCGTAATATCTGCAATAAAAAAAAAACAACACGAATTTCAAAAATCTGGGATTTCGATAAAATAAGACTACAGGATATTCTTCTCGATTGCGGCACCACATTTTATATCACCTATTCGAGTAGTTACAGATTGGTTATATCGGTGTCAAGAGGAGCAAGAAACGAAACAAAGGCTTGAACGTTATTTTATTTACAACACTTTCCTGCTGCTTCGTTTAGTTTTTTACTTTAGTGCCTATAAATATACTCTGTACTTCAATAATTCATAGGAGAGCAGTTAGCTGTACAGTACCTGATGACTGCAAGTTATAGTTAAAGTAGATAACTATACCTATTACACAGTAACAGATGGGAAGAAATCAACTATTCTTATCCAATTAGGTAGCAGCAGCATAATCAGCCTATAATGTTTCTACCGCTGAGACATATAACTACTTTCTGTGAGAGTGGACTGTAATCCAACATGCGGGCCCAGTGCCCAATTAAACACTAACAATTTTTCAAACAAGTTCTATGTTATATGATTCCTAGTATTAGAGACATTAATAGCATGAGAAATAAGTCATGAGGTATACAAATAAAACAACTTGTTGAGACTTTTAATTTTATTAATTTTCTACATCATCCATTATTAATATTCCATCCAGGAATGACGCCGGTGCTTCTATGCTCTCTTGGTACCGAGCCCAACCCAAATACCACACAATGGTCATAATGTGAGCACAGCAACCCACTGTTCGTTGTCCGGAGATACAACTACAATAATAGCTAATTATTTTATCATCCCAACTTGATCCTTCCTTTGACAGCAAAATATATGTATAATATGTTCGTCCTGAGCTATGTCGAGATTTTATACGGCCTCTGATTAAAAGAGGATCAAGTTGGGATGGGGTTGCTTCTGCTACTACTTCCAGTTGGTCAGATACTTCTACCTGAAATGATCCATGCTGCCTAATATGTTCCCCGAAATAGCTTCTAGCCTGTTTTATTTGATAGGTACCCAGCCCAAAAAGTATCAAGTCAGACATAGTCATTTCAGGGAAAATACTTAACTCTGGAAGTTGACCATCAATTCTTGTGAATTGGGCTCTAAAGCGGTTGATCCGGTTAGCAATTATAAGTTCTGCTAACCGGTTGGGCATATTTTTTCTCTGTATTGCTCGAGTAAGTATAGCATCAGCATCTGGTCTATTTTCAATCACTGGATGGAATGCATTAATTATAGCTGCACAAATACGAACATCGTCCATCAAATGGGTGGCAGCCAAATTAAAATATTCGTGTCTCAATAGCTTAAAGTCTCTTTTAAATCGGCCATTAACTACTTCTACCACCCATCTGCATAGTGTCACACATCTTGTCTTGTTTGCACTGATGGTTGATAACTGAGTCTCTCCTTGTTCTAATGACTCCGGTTTAAATACTTTGAAGCTCAACCCCTCTAGCATTGGAATGGAATCACGAAAGCCTCGATCCAAAATGAAAACATCATTGGGCTGAAAAAAAGCCCTTAGACCCTCATTTTCATTTTGGAACAAAGCTTTCATGATGTCAGCATCTGATTTGGTTGCTGGATAGGGCCCCAAAATATCAATAATATAACCATCAGTGGCAACAATGAGAAAAGGTTTAACAAGGTTTCTATATTTGTGCAAGCTATAAGTTTTTTTTTGGAACATATAGTTGGATGATTTTTGAAGGTATATATAGGTACCATCAAATATTATTATTGGTACTCTTGCCTCTCTGTTTCCAAACAAACCCTCGGGTATTAATAAATTCCTATTTATTAAATCATTTCTTGTATGATTGATTCCTAAGTGGAGAGGCACAAATAACCTTAGCAATGCCTCTTTAGCTACTCTAAGCAATCGTGTTATTGAGGACTTGGTCAGATGAAACAGAGAGGCAATCCTTTCATGGGAGTCCCCTGTACGAGCTTTCACCAAATAGATTCCCAAAGCAATTTTTTGGTTTTTGCAAGTCAATGCTGGGCTTATTACATTTAAAATATTTATAAAATTGTCTTTTGTAATTCCAGTCCAGAACTTAAAGAGTCCCTCATCAATACTACTCATATTATTAAAATCTAGTTGATTTATTTCATTGTCCTGGATACTCAGCTTCAGCATTGACTCTATTTCATTTTTTGTAAATGTATTTGAGAACTGATGCTGGTCCAGAAACTCCCAGTTGTATAAACATTTATGTTCATTACATACTCTTGCATTTTCTGTCACAAATATTTTTTCCGATTTTAATATAATTCTTCTTAAGTATTCCGGCACTCTATTTCGTTCTACATTGTTACAGGCCGGCACAAAACAATGAGTACTTGTCTGTGTTGTGTGTGTAAAACCATCAAGTGTTATTGATGCACTTGGTGGCTGGATATCAAATTGCACAACTTCTTGCTCCATTTCTATATTTTCGTGTGCACGTGTCCAGCAGTTGGAACAAAGTAGCGCATGTTCTGGTAACTGAAACAATACAAGAAACAATTTACTTACAGGAGCAACAGAAAGGGTTACTTACAGTTAAATGCAAAGTTACATTACTTGTGTATGGTGGTTTAGTAAATTAAAATAATTTTACCTCATTGGGGTAAATTCTTGCTGCAACTTCATCTCTCACAGGACCACTAGCCACATGTGTTCGCCTTCGGTGTAGCGACATTCTACACCATGCACACATAGAGTCTTGGTGAAGATTAGATGGGCCTTGCCGGTTATCCTCAACCCTTGTAGCATGCTCCACATTTCTACGTGCTGCTACCCAACAAGCATAGCAAACCAGTCCTCCTGGTGGAATCTGAATTAAACAAAAGAAAACAATATGTATTGACTATTAACCCAATTATTTAATTCCAACAGTAGGTAATTAAGTAAGTTGTTAATGTTACCTCTCTTGGATATATCGTTTGTGTTATTATGGTCCGTTCAGGTCCTTCAGGTATGGAGTGGCTGCGTGTTTGGGCAAGAGACCGTCGGCACCATACACATGCATTCATATTCATAACAGCAGGAGCTGCTATGATTCCTTGTTGTTGTATTGTACGCCGAGTATGTACCCAACAAGCAAAACATATTAAACCACCCTCGGGTATCTAAAACAAAAAATATGAAATTAATATTTATTAATTTAAATCAAAACATTTCTAAATAATTTAAATCACAACATTTCTAAATCATTTTAATAAATCAAGATTTAGTTATTTTAACATCACCTTCACAGACTCAACCAAGGTGATGTTATAAGTTACATATCTACACACATTTCCAAAAATTAAATTGTGACTGTTCTGTTTCTTCCTGCAATAATATTGTCTTAGACCATAATTAAGGAACATCTGCATTTGACTGCCTGTATGAATAAAAAAGAAAACAAAAGAGGTGCTTACCTCTCTTGGAGCAATTGTTTCAGCAATATATTGCCTTTCGGCACCCTCGGGAATAGAGTGTGCACGCCTCTTAAACAAAGATGTCCTACACCTAACACAAACATTGCTATCATGG